AAGGAAAATGCGGAGAGTGTTCTATGTCTAGGAAAAACAAAAAAAATCATACTCTGGCAGTGCTAACTGATCCGGTGGATTCCCAGAACAGTTTTTGTGCGCTGCCACTTGTGTCAAAGACATTGACGACAGCTTCTGGTTATTTCGACAGAAATACCGGGATAATTCGATACTTGTGATTGGCATTTAAAATTATAGGGTTGATTTAACTGGCGAGCACCAATCGTGAAGCTGCGCGCTGCGGGCCGCAGCTTGGCTGGGCCAGTTCATCGACACAGCGAAGCAGCCACCAGTGGCGCGAAGCAGGCAGAAGGATGGCGTAACTACTTGAAACAACGCGTACGTATGCCTTTGCTATTAGCATAATAATTTTCCCGTATATTTTGCAGTAGGTATTTTGAAATTTAAAAACCTTTCACTGGAACTTGCAACTTTCATATTTTGCTGTAAATTGCAAAAGCTCTTTGAACTGTGATTTTGATGGCCCGTCTTCCTTGGATGGTATCACACTACAGATTTCATAACCAGTGGGAAAAAAAGAGATAACTAAAGCAACAGGCAAACAGATTGTTTTGTTTCAGCATCAGAATCAGCTGCCTTATGAAGGCGAAGGCGAAGGCGGTCCTAGCCGGGAAACGAGCTGGCATGCTGGAGCCAGTATTTTTGTGATCCATGGCATCAGCATGCTGAAGAGTAGTTTATGTAAGAAAAGAAGTTGTATTATGTAGAATTTTTTTTCCTCTAATCTGTGTATGTAGAATGTTATGTACAAGTGGAATTGTTACTAATTTGTTTTTATATGTATATTGTTTGTGTATATCTTGTGAAAATAAAATTTTTGGATCTAATTGCTCGTTCTTTTTCTAGTACATTACTATCCTGTATATTTAGTAATTGCAAAACGCTAGTCGACTTCAGCAAGATCCTGGCACACCTGATGCTGTCCCTGGAACGAGAATTGATTTTAAAACTGAAAAATCAAAAAAAAAAAAAAGAAGAGAGCAGAAATGAGCCAGTAGAACGAGTTTGAAAGGTGTCTTCATTGACCTCTTTTGCTCTTCGTGAACCCTCACTGCCTTCAGTTTTGCGACATTTTTTGCCGAACGAAGTTGAGTCGAGGAAGGATTGCGCCAAAAGTCGTAATTGGCGATATGGTGGAATCAATTTTCAGATGAGATGCTGAGCCTGGTGGACTATGAGGCAAGTGATGACGATAGTGAGGACGATGAGGGCA